AGCAGAGCATGGGGGGCAGGGAGCGCAGCTCCAGCTGGCGGGTGGCGTCCACCTGGGCGGGGCACAGGGGGAGGGGGAGGGTGTGCGTGTGTGGGGAGTGTGGGGATGTGGTGGTGGGGCGCGAGGCGGGGTGCAGGTGGCGGGTGGGGCTGGCTGTGTAGGCTGGGGCCAAGGCTGGCCGAGCTCCCAACCGGCAGTTCCCTGGAGCCCTGTTTCAAGTGGCGGGCAGGCAGGCAGGCGGGCAGGCAGGCAGGCAGGCAGGCAGGCAGGCAGGGCAGGAATGAAGCCGGCAGGCTGCGATGCGGGGCAGCAGACGCTGGGCGTGCTGCGGGGCAGCGCAGGCGACCCTACATCGGTGCCCCGCCACGCCTGCCCCACCTTGCGCGCGCAGAACTCGCAGCTGTACTGGTTGTCGCCTTCCATCGTCTCCGGCATCAGCATGCTGTTCAGGGAGTCTACGGGGGCAGGCAGCGGCGGCGGCGGCTGTGCGGTGTGTGGCAGTGGCGGTGCTGCGCTGGTGGCGGCGTGTGCCAGGGAGGTGCCCAGGCAAGCATGGCAGGAGATGGGTTGCCGCCTGGCCGCCTGGCCGCCTGCCACCCTCCCACAACCTACCCAGGCTTGCCCACCAAAAAGCACGCAACCCCCCCACCCCCATCCCACCCCACCTCCCCATACACATGCCATGCACACAGCACCAGCACCCGGACCCTCACCCTGCAGGCTCCTGAACCCCTTGACTGGCACATCCACCTCGTAGAAATTGTCGTTGCGCTTGCTGCTGTCTGCAGCAGGGTGGCAGGCAGGAAGGCAGGCAGGGGCGTGGGCAGGCAGGCGGGCGGAGAGCAGGGCAGGCGGGCAGCAGAGCAGGGACGGTGCTGGGCAGCCGCCGGGGGGTGGCCGAGCCGGAGGCAGGTGGCGAAAGAGAGGCCTGCTGCGGCTGCGGCAGCGGCGCAGCGCAGGCGCGCCTGACGGCCGCCCGCACGACTGGCAAATCGTGAGGTAGCCGCTCTGCCCACGGAACAGCGCCTGCACTTGTGCCAAACAGTTTTTATACAGACCAAGCGGGAAGGGGCAGCGGGGGGCAGCCGCGGCGGGCATGCCTTGGCCTCCCGCCACTGACGCGTGTGCTGCCAGCCATCGCCCTGCCAGCCCCCCCGCGCTGCCGCGCGCAGCTGCCCCTCCGGCTCCCCCACCTGTATCACTTCCTGCAGCTCCTCCTGCTGCCCAAACTTGGCCTCCAGCAGGGACAGGAAGAGCTTCATGAACTCCTGCCCATCCTGCTGTACGCCGTGGTCTGCAGGCGCCAGCGGCGGGGCAGCCGGGCGCCAGGGGTGGACGATGAGGGGATGAGAGGGCCGCGGGACGGGCGGGGCGGCGCCGGGGGCGGAGAGGCGGAACCCAGCAGCGGTAGCGGAGGTGCAGCACTCGTTGCGCTGCTGCCGGGGCGCGCGTGGGGGAAAACACGAGTGTCAAGCGGGGAGCATCAGGCACCCACCCAAGTTCAGGCTCTTGGCCAGCGGCTCTGGATCAGCTGGGTCGGTGCAGCCGTGCTCCATGGCCAGAAACAGCTGCCTGCAGAGCGGCGGGACACGGCAGAAGCAGCGGCACGAGGCCGGCGGGCAGCGGGGTCGGCACGGGCGTGGGCGAGGCGCGGACGGGAGGCAGGGAGGCACACGGGGGTACACGCAGCAGCGTGAGCGGGCCGACAGGATTGCGCGCCTCGCGTGCTTGCCTGAGCTCCTTCACGATCGGCTCATCCGCCAGCGGCTGCTTGAGCGCGTACACTGCCCGGCGGAAGGCGGTGTTGGCAAACAGGCACTGCACGAGGGCGGGCGGGCGGGATGGGGCGCGGCGGCGTTCAGCCCGAAGAAGGCACGGCACAGCACAGCACAGCTCAGCACAGCACAGCAGGACACGTGAAGCCTCCTCCCGACAGCAAACAGCCACCGCTCGTGTGCAGCGCAGCAGGCAGCACACCTGCAGCACGCTGTTGACGTAGCAGGTGTTGCCCAGGTTCTTCAGGCCCACAGGCTTGCTGCGGTCCTGCACAAGACGAGGGTTGTTGGCGGGTGGCGGCCGGCAGGACAGCAGCGAGGTGAACTTGGTGTGACAGGTCAGCTGAGCGAGGCTGTGATGCAGGCTGGCAGCTACATCCCGAGCCCATGCAGCACATGTGCCTTAGCCAAGCTGTGCATAACCAGCACAGCTGTTGCCCAGTGCCGCCTGAAGCTGATGCGCGGGCTCCACCTGCACCCACCTCTCGCTTGGTGGCGCTGGGCTCTGGGCCCAGCGTGCCCAGCACGTCGGCCTCCTTGGCCCACAGCCCCTGCCGGCGGAAGCCGTCGGGCGCGGGCAGCAGGTTGCACAGGCAGTTGGGGTTGCCGCCCTTGCCCTGCGATCGGCGGTTGGCGGCACAATGGTGGTCGGAGACGCGGAGAGCGAGAGGGGTAGGGCAGTGCAGGAGCAGCCGCAAAGATGGCATGAATTGAACACAGGATGCTGCTTGCTGCTGGGCAGGTGCTGACTGCGGCCAGTGTGTGGAGTGAGTGACAAGGTACCCAAGCGTGGGCGATGGGCGGCACCACCAACCCCGCCGCTGCCGCCCTCACTTTGCACGACTTGGAGTAGAGGCCTTCGCAGGGCTTGTCCGCCTTGATCACCCGCAGCACCTGGGTGTAGTCCAGGGCGGCCACGCCGCCGCTCTCAATCATCGTTTTGAGGTTTCTGGCCTCCTCGCCGGTCACCTCGTCGCCGATGCCAGGGGGCTGCTTTCCCCCCTTGGACTTTGCCGGGCGGCTGCGCTTCATCCTGGAGGCTCAGGTGGTGAAATGGCTGCACTCCATTCCCGTTCTGATCAGGCAAGGCTCTGGCTGCCGCGACTGATCAGAGTCCCCAGATGCCGATCGTACCCATCGATTGCTTGACTGTTTCGGCATTCCAATTCTGGCCTCCAAACTGTACTGCAGTTCCCCGCCATTTTCTGCGTTTCGAGACTCGTCTCCAATTCCAATTTCGACACGCCCATTTATCGCAGACATGATGATGCAATCCCTGCGCTGCCATCCGGCCATCCTGCGCCATTCGACGCTCAAGCTGCAGCAGCGCTGCCCCAGGAGGGCCGGGGCGATCAGGGCATCCGCACATGACCAGCTGCTGGCGCCTCGCACCCGGGATGGTGAGTAAACTCCCGCCACTCTGCCGCCCTCTCCGTCACTGCCGACGCCCACCTCGCGCTGTTGCAAAGCTTGGATGCATTGTAGCGCTGCCCGTCTGATCCGCAGCCAAGGTGGCATTCGTGGATCAGCTGCTGGCGGCAAAGGCAGCCAGCGGCAAGACTTTCGACGAGATAGCGGTTGACATAGGGTGCACCAATGCCTACACGGCGCAGCTCTTCTTCAACCAAGCCCAGCTGAAGCCCGATACGGCTGCAAAGCTGAAGGCAGCAGTGCCGCAAATCAGGTGCAGGTCTGGCCTGGTGCTGGCCAGCTCTTAACCACCACCCAGTCAGCCACCCCCCTGCCTTCACGCGCTGCAGCGAGGAGGCGCTGGCTGTGATGCAAAAGGCACCCATGCGCAGCTTCGACCCAGCGATTCTGGAGGAACCATTGATTTACCGCATGATTGAGGTGGGTGCCTGCTGGTAGCGCCTTTGCTGTGTTGGCGCGCAGGCAGCGCAGGTGGCGCGGGGTGCGCCAGGTGTGGTTCATTCCGGCGCCTGCTGTCTGTCGGCTGGCAGCAGGCTCACAGCCTGGCTCGCACTGTGCAGGCCATCAATCACTATGGCGAGGCCTTGAAATGCCTAGTGAACGAACAATTTGGTGACGGCATCATGAGCGGTGAGCGAGGCGAGCAAAGCAGGCTAGCTGTGAGGCGCATCGTGCGGCGAGATGCGGTGCATCCCCAGCCTGCCCCTCATGTAGCGTGCGTGCAGCCATCGATTTCTACGTGACGGTGGACCGCATCACGGGCAAGCAGGGCGAGGCACGGGTGGCCATCACCCTTAATGGCAAGGTGTGCTCAGGCAAAGGGGCAGCATGTCCAGGCGGGTGGACGCTGTGCGCCCCAGCGCCTGCTGCCCCCTGCCTTCCATGCCTGCAGTTCCTGCCCCACGTGGAGCAGCGTGCAGAGGACAACACGGCAGCTACAGGGCAGAAGGGTGCCTGAGGCCCTCCCCGCTGCCTGCGCCAGCCAGCACTCCCTTTGGAATATGCTTGTTACAATCATCGGATCAATTCATCGTGCGCGGGAGCGAGCTAAGAGCGATGCATGTGCACAGGCATCCCAGCAGTTCAGGGACACCCGAGGAGGGGCGGCGCTTCATGGTGGGAAGCATGCGCCATGGCAGCGCTCCGAGGATGGTGGCAATGAAAGAATGCTGCAAGGTGAGGATCTTGCCAAAGTACCAGCCGGGTTGAAATGACGCAGAAGGAAAATGGCGATACGCCTGTGTTTGGGTGAGATGTTATGAGGGGGCAGGGACAAGTGCTCGGGAGGCGAGTGCTGGCGCATGGCGCGTGGGCACAAGAGTGGGTGCGGAGAGCATTAGTGTAGAGCCCAGCATGAGTTAGCCAATGTGCGGAAACACGAGGGGGTGGCTGTCCCTTGCGCATGATACAAAACTCCGCCGGTGTGCAGAGCAGCTCTGCCCCCACCTTGGCAGAGGTGGAGGGTGGCGGTTGCCGGAGCGCCCTGTCGCCAGCTGGAATAGAATTGGGGCAAGCGCCGTGCCAGCCAGGGCGCAGCTGCACCACTGGCCGGCGCAGCGAGCAGCGAGTAGCAAGGCGAGAAGCAGACAGAGTTGCCAAGCAGCCTCAAGAGGAAGCAGGCTGCATTGCTGTGCAGGGCACAGCGCAGCGGCGAGCCAGAGGGAGTTAGGCGTAGAGATTGGAGCGGAGCGGGAAAGATGGAACGAGAAGAAGAACGGGGGGCCCCGAGGGGAGGGCTCCGCCAACGTACTGATGTGGCGGCAATTAGAGAAAAATGCCGCTCAAGGGTGGGCAAAAATGCACGGCGGGAAAAGAATGAATTGTCATGCATGCCCATACATGCTGGCGGAAGGGCGCCGTGATGACGCGCTGCACCGCCCAGGCCGGCACCTTCTGCCGAGGGGCCTGAGCGTGCGGCGCGCCGCTGAGCTGCACACCTTCATATAGCCTTCCTTTACCGAATGCGTCTAAGGGCTGGCCAGCAGCGCTGAGGTGGGCCCGCAACGCCGCTGCTGCACCATCCGCACACGCAACAATTTGGAGCCCTTCACTGCGCTGTGGCCTGCTCTGCTGCCGCCTGCGCGGGCGGCGGCGCGGCCTGCTGCTGCGCAGCTGCTGCGGCCGCCGCGGCGGCTGCTACCGTCGCCGCCTGCTGCGACAACTGCTGCTGCTGCCTGTCCTGGCCTAGGCTGTCGGAGCGGGGCGTGTGCGCACTGCTGCGTTGCCCGCTGTTGTTGGGGCGGCCGCCGCCACCGTAGCGGCCGCCACTCCCCGAGGATCGGCGTCCAAGCGAGCCGCTGCCACCAGCGGGGGACAGCGGATTCTGCAGCAGGCGTGGGGCGGGACATGCATGCAGTCGGTGAGCACAAAGCCTGGCAGACAGATCGCCTGCACAGACAGATAGGCTGGAGCTAGAGACGAAAACAGCGCACAAAGACGGAGACGGTCGATCCAGCAGTTTGTGCATACACCGCGCCTTTCTTTTGCTATGCTGGGCAGGCAATGTCTTCCCAGCTCAGGCAGCCAGCCCAGCCAGGCGCAGCCTCCGCCTCCGGCCCACCTGCATGCCCCCCACGGGGCTCATCGGCACGCCCATGCCGCCGCCGGGGCCGCCATACGGCACGTACGCCATCTGCATGCCCGCTGCCGCGTAGGCCTGCATCATTGCCTCCTGCTGGCCCGGCCGCATGGGCATGTAGCCATAGGGCTGCATGGCCACCATACCATACGGCATGCCGCCGCCGCCGCCGCCCTGGTACACCATGCCTGCACGCAGACGCGCCCGGGGGCACCAGGGAAGAGCCAAGTGAGGCACAGCGCGCGGGCAGCAGACCGGTGCGCCTGGCAGGCACATCAGGCTGGTGCCCACACGGATAGGCCCTGCAACCCGGCAGCTGGCATGGCAGCGCAGCTGACCTGGCATGTGCGCCATCATGGCACCAGCTGGCATCATGCCCTGCCCGTAGCCATACCCCACCATCATCTCCTGGTGCGCCCCCATGCCAGAGCCCCCCATCTGCGCAAGGGCAGGGTAGGGGCATGGAGGGAAAGCACTCGTGGTGAGCGGTCAGCGAACGAGACACGCAGACAGCGCCAACAGGCAAAGCTTCTGGCATGGTGAGCCGTTCAGCGCACCTGGCCAGCGTAGCCGCCGCCATACATAGCTGCTGCCGCGGCTGCGGGGCTGGTGGGCACCGGGGAGGCGCCCATGCCACCCATCACGGCAGCGCTGCCGTTGCTCCGCGGCGACTGCGCCGGGCGGTGCACGCCGCCGCTGCTGCCGCCGCCGCCCCGGACCTCGCCGCCGACGCTGCCTCCACTGCTGGTAGCCAGCTCAGGGAACTGCACCAGGCAGCCACGCACAGAAGGCGAAGCCAACAGGCGGCGTCAGCGAGTGTGGCCGGCACAGGCAGGCAGGCGTCATCCTGCATCAGCTCAGGGCTGGCAAGCAGCCTGGGTACCACACCCCAGCTCAGCAGCCAGCAACAGTGCGGGTGGGACCAGCCTCCTGCCCCCCCCCATCCACACACCTCGCTGCCATAGGAGGGGCGGATGTACATGCTGCTGGCCGGCTGCGCCTCCTCGCCAAACCCGGGGTCGAAGCGCGGGCCGTGCAAGCCCCTGCAGCACAGGCCAAGCAGGCAGGCAGGCATGGAGTAAGGCTGTGCTGCACCGAGGGCTGCACAAGCAGGGCTGGCTGCTTCCATCATGCCAGCCAAGACGGCCGGCGTAGCACTGGGCATCAGCTTCCTGCCAGCGTGTGCCATCCAGGTGCGCACTGCATATCCCGTTGCCCACGTGCCCACCTGCCCCGCCGGAAGTCTGGATCAGCCAGGTCAGCTTCCTTGTTGCGCAGCTGTGCCTTGGCAGGCCGCGGGCCGCCGCTGCCGCCGTAACCGCCGCCGTAGCCGCCGCCGCCGCCATACGCAGCGCCGCCGTAGCCGCCGCCGCCGCCCCCCGCTCCGGGACCACCACCATAGCCGGCGCCAGGCGGCATGCCGGCGCCGTAGGGCATGCCTCCAGGGACGCCGCCAGGCCGGCCCATGGCTGCTGCACAAACCAGGGGGCACGCGTGTGCAAGCGGGCTGCTCAGCCTGCTCAGCACAGGCACCAGAGCTGCTGCTGGCACGTTTATGCAATACAGAGTTTTTTCTGAAAACAGGCACCGCCCAGGCGTCGCCACCCGCCCACCTGCTGAAGGGCCGTAGCCCATAGGCCCCATCTGGGGCCCCATGGGGCCCATCATGCCGCCAAATTGAGTGGGCATGCCGCCGCCCATCATGCCTGCCCCCGCGCCGCCCGGCCCGCCGCCGTTCAATGGCGCGCCAGCGCCGGCGCCGGCACGCGGCGACGGAGCCATGGGCAGCCCGGGCCCCGCTGCATGCTGGTAGCCGGCGGGGCCCGGCCCCTCGCCAAAGATGCGGGCCCGGGCTCGGTGGTACTCCTGCTCTCGTTCCTGCATGGACCTGCATGGACCAACCAGGGAGGCCCAGCACAAAGAGCAGTGGGCAGCAAGGAAGGCAGCTAGGGCAGAAATTTGCTAGAAATGCAGGTCGAGCCGAACTGCCGCCGGCTCCCTGGCATCTGCCTCCCAAGCCAGGGCAGGTTGCATACCTGTACTGCCCATTTGCGCCTGGCATGCCATATGGGCCCTCCATGCCGCCAGGCCCCATCATGCCGCCGCCCGGCCCCCGCGGCATGCGGTCTGAGCGCTTGCGCACAAGCACGCGCGGCGCGGGTGGCGAGCCAACCGGCGCGCCGCCGCCGCCGCCTCGCGGCATGCCGCCGCTGCCGCCGCCAAGCGCCCCCTCTTGCATTGTCACCTCCACATCAGCCAGCTTCACCTGCAGCCACAAAGTCAGAGCGTGTTGGCCAGCCAGGCACCCAGGGTTTTGAATGTGCGACACGCCAAAGGGAGGGGCGGCGGGCGTGCTGGCGCTCAGCTGAACCCGCACAAGCACAATGCAGGCCCCACCTGCGGCGACTTGGTGGTGGGCATCCTGTTGGCCACAATGCGGCCCTGGTCTGGGCCGTGGTTCACAGTGGAGGTCTCCAAGCCCCAGTGCTGCGCCGTTCGGTGTGCTAGCAGGCGCTGCAGCGGCGGACGGAGGGCAGCGGCGGCGGCGGCGGCACAATCAGCAGGCGACAGCGGCGGCTTGTGCTAGCAGCGTGCCCGACGAAGACCCGACAGCCCTGGCAGGGGCAGGCTGTGCGCAAGCCACTCCAAGCACTTCTTCTCGCCCGTCCGCAGCCACCATAGCCGGGCAGCTGGCGGGCCGCACCTCGTACGACGACATATCGCCTGAGAAGATGTGCTGCGGCTCCTCCGAGGTCAACACAAACGCTTCCACCTCCGCCTCCAGCGCCAGAACTGCGCACAGCGCCAGCAGGCAGGGGCCCGCAACGTTGTGTGTGGCCCGCCGCACACCGCACACCGCCCCTAGAGGCATTTCTTCATGGCGCCCCACCGTCCACATGCGCACCTGATGCCCGGTTTTTCGGGTGTGCTAGGGCATCTCGCAGCGCGTGGTCCACCGCTGCGGGCCCCTCTCCTTCGTGGCTCGCATCTGCCACAGCTGCGTTGTCCGCCACAGGGCTGGGCCTGCAGCGGGGCCGCAATTCTGCCTGTCGCACCGGCACCCATCCACCCCGCGGCACTCCGAAAGCCGGCAGCCTCCCGGCAGGCGGGGAGCCCACTCACCCAGCGCCCGCCACAACGTCTGCCTCCGCTGCACCATCAGCCGCCGAGTGCTCGCTTTCGATCTGTAAGCTCTCCAGCTGCTGCGCGGCCTGCTCCCAGTCCTCTGGGGCCGCCATCTGACGCTGCACAGACCGCCTATGGGCTGGGGCGCCTCTGCTGCACTTGCTCAGATGCTCAGTGTCACGTGACTATTCACACAGCGCCATCGGCGCCTGAGGGGGCGCAATGCAGGGCTCCTCTGCCCCAGCGTGGTACACGGGCCGCAGTACACGGCTCCTGGAGTCGCGGGCGTCATTCCTGGCCGCCACAGCACCCCTAACCGCCTGCAATCGCCTCAGGCCGCAGGCTGCCCGCAACCTCTGCTCCCGCGCTTGATCACTTGGCTTGTCTCTGGAACCCCAGGACTGGTGGCAGTCCCTCGGTCGCGTGCCGATGGTGCTCATAGAAGACATCACTGAAGCTGAGAAGGAGAGGGAGCGCGCTGAGGCTGCAGCCGAGGCGGCAGCCAAGCGGGCATCAGCGGCAGCGGCAGCGGCCAAGGCCGAGGTGGAGGCAGAGGCGCAGGCACGCCAAGCCGCATGTGCCATGCCTGCCGCGGGGCAGGAGGGTGCCACGCCACAGCAGGCCGATAGCCACGAGGCCGCTGCCGCCAACGAGCTGAGCGAAGCCGACCAGGTGCGGGCAGCACATCTTCGGCATGCCTCTGATGCGCTTGATGTGCTACCGCTGCCTTGCATGCAGTGATGAAGTGTAATGTGTCTGTGGCCTGTGTACCGCGCACGACCCTCCCCAAAGTGGTGGCGCCTGCCTGGATGCCTGGCCCACTGCTCTGCAGCAAAGCTTGGAGGAGGCAGAGGTGCTGAAGAAGGAGGGGAATGAGCTGTACTCTCGAGGGCAGTGCGACGAGGCTCTGGTGATCACCAGCGGCACAGGCCAGCTTGCAGAGCAGGCGTCAGCCGTCTGGCAGCCTGTGGGCTGCTGTGTCCTGATTCGCGCCCTGCTGTCCCTGCTCCGGCTGTAGGCAAAGTACGCAGCGGCACTAGACGCAGCGCCAGAGGGCGCCACACGGCAGCGGGCGGTGTACCATGGCAACCGTGCAGCCTGCCACCTACAGCTGGAGCAGCATGCAGAGGCAGCACAGGTGTGTGACAGCAAGGGGGCGGGGCGGGGCGAGAGCTAGGGCAGCAAGTGGGGAACACAGCATGCAGGCGGGATTTCGGTCTGTGGTGCTTCGCTGGCATGCTGGCAAGTGTTAGAAAATTTAAACAACTGAACTTTCACGCATGCTCACGCGCTGGCTGGCTGGATTTTTGGCACGCCCCTTGGCTGTAGGAGTGCACCGCTGCGCTGGAGCTGGACCCGCAATACACCAAGGTACTGCTTCGCCGCAGCACCGCCTATGAGAGTCTGGATGACCTGGAGCGCGCGCTAGCAGATGCGGAAAAGGTGGGTGGGTGGCCAGCTGCTGGATGCTCGGAATGGGGCAGTGCACGCACGTGCAACCGCTGCTCATTGCTGCTGTGGCCCACACCGGAGCCAGCCAAGCTTTTGCGCCAGTGGGAGTGATCACTATGCAACTGTGTTTCGGGCCACGCTGAGCCCCTCCTTCCTCTACACCTCTTCCTGCTGGCTCCTTGGCCACAGGTGCTGGAGCTGGAGCCCGCCAACAGCGTAGCAGGCAAGGTGGTCAAGCGGCTGACGCCGGTGGTGATGGAGCGCCGGGAGAAGCTCAAGGATGAGATGATGGGTGAGGGGGCAGGGGCAGCAGCAAGGTTGCTGGACCGTTGCTGTGCAGACGTTGTTGTGGTGCAACAAGCGCTGGCGAGCTGGTAGCCTGCCTGCCTCCTGCCCTCTGGAGTCCCCTCCATGAATATACCTCTTCCTTCGGCCAGCTCGGCTTGGTATGCGAGCCTACCACTGCGTCCGTCCCTGCCCGGCTGAGCTGCAGGCAAGCTCAAGGAGCTGGGCAACATGGTGCTGGGCAAGTTTGGGATGTCGGTGGACAACTTCAAGGCAGAGCAGGACCCCACCACCGGCTCGTACAGCATCAAGTTCCAGCAGTAGGCTGCTGCAGCTAGCCGACAGGCGGCTCATGCAGCGAGCCAGGCGCGTACAGACAGCGGATTGTGTCACACGACTAGTATTTGCTCCCCTGGTTGATTCTTTCAGTGCTGCACTATCTACTGCCGTCGTGTGTGACCTGTTGGCAGGCGCCGGGCGACCACCGCAAGGACCTGTGCGGCCCTGTGCGACTCGCCTGCCCAGCCTTGCGTCCCCGACCTCCTGCCCACAGGTGGCGCCATGGGCATTGACAGCAGCCCCAATGCTCGCCTTTGCCGGCCTCTGAAAAACCCTTCCCACGCCATGACCGCTGACCCCAGCCCCTGGGGGTCCCAACCGCCCCCGATCGCTTGCCAGGCCGCATTGCAATGCATAAATGCGAAAATGGACGCGTGGGCGACCATTCCTGCCACTTTCCACGCACGAGACCGGCTCTTATCCCGCCCGCAGCTCTCATCGCGCTCACTGTTGTGTCCCCCGCCCCCAGCAGTCACCCGAAACCCCAATCGCAGTCATGCAGGCCATCCGTGCTCAGGTTGTGGTGCCCCAGGCCTCCTCGGCCCAGGCGAAGCCCCGCATGGCTGTGCCTGCCGCCGTGGTGCGCCCCCTGAAGGCCCTGGGCGCCGGCGTGGCGTCTCTGGCGCTGGCCCTGTCCGCCAACGCCGCCACCGTCAAGGTGGGGAGCCAGCCTCCTGCAGGATGCAGCCCTGACCAATGCACTGCCCCAATCCTGCCGCCAACTGACTTTTCATGACCGCATCGCCCTCCCCGCGGTGCAGATGGGTGCTGACAACGGTGAGGGGCGCTGGGAGGCGGGGGAGGGGCCGGGGAACGTGTGCGGCAGCCAAGGAATCGCCCAATGCGCCTGCTCGGGGCCCTGCCGGCCATCCCAGGGGCCCGATGGCGGTGTCGGGGGCACTGTGGCGCGGCTAGGCCTGGTCTTGTGGTTGCCCGTTGCCCTGCATGATCCAGAGGGGACTCCACCTCGCGCTCTGGCCCGCAGGCGCCCTGGTGTTCGACCCCTCCTCCGTGACCATCGCCAAGGGCGAGTCCGTGACCTTTGTGAACAACGCCGGCTTCCCCCACAACGTGGTCTTCGATGAGGATGAGGTGCCGGTAGGTGTCGCCGCCACCGGTGCTGCCTGCTCCGCTGCGCAGGCTGCGCAGCCCGCCAGTCACAGCTGGCAGCCTATTGGAGCCGCATTGAAGCAGCCCATGAGGCCCCCCCGATTGCCCGTGACGTCAGCCTTGGCGGTCGCTTCCTTGCGTGCGGTCCCGCCACATGCACCTCCCTGTGTGCTCTATGTGTGTGCAGTCTGGCGTGAACGCTGATGCCATCAGCCACGAGGACTACTTCAACGCCCCCGGCGAGACCTACTCGGTCAAGCTCGACACCGCTGGCGCGTACAGCTTCTACTGCGAGCCCCACCAGGGCGCTGGCATGACCGGTGAGCGGCGCGGCGGCTGGGGCCGGAAGGCCGCCAAGCAGGCTGCCGCGCTCTCTTGCTGTGCAGCATGCGGCAGAAGAGCTGGTGTGCTGCGGCTGCCTGCATCGGAGCCGGAGCCCTGCACTTGAAGGTTGAGCGCACCAATGCTGACCGGTACGCCTTTGCTGCCCCGCTGGTGCGCTGCAGGCAAGATCACCGTCAACTGAGCTTGTGCCCCTCTTCCTTGTTGAGAGACCAAGCCAGCACTTCACATTCACACGCCGCCATTCGGATGACTTCCCCCGCCCCACACTTCGCTTGCTAACGTTATGGGTGTAAACACACCAGCCCTGCACTCAGACACGCCGCGCCATTAGCGCGAGGCATGGTACCCGGGGCGGCTCGATCAGTGTGCGTCATGATGAGGGACCCCTCCTCTGCCGCCAGAACCAAATTCGTGATGGGGCAGTGAGTGAATGAGGCTGGGGGAGGACAAGCTTTCCACAACCTAGGCGTAGTTAGTTGCCCCTGGAGGAAGGGGGGGGGGGGGGGGGGGGGGGGGCGAATGGCGGCGTGTGAATGTGAAGTGCTGGCTTGGTCCCCCCACAAGGAAGAGGGGCACATGCTCCGTTGAGGGTGATCTTGGGAGCAGCGCACCAGCGGCGCCGCAAA